GTCTCTACAGTGTATCATCCCTACACCCCTCCCTGTCTCTACAGTGTATCATCCCTACACCCCTACACCCCTCCCCCTACACCCTCTCTGTCTCTACAGTGTATCATCCCTACACCCCTCCCTGTCTCTACAGTGTATCATCCCTACACCCCTACACCCCTCCCCCTACACCCTCTCTGTCTCTACAGTGTATCATCCCTACACCCCTCCCTGTCTCTACAGTGTATCATCCCTACACCCCTACACCCCTCCCCCTACACCCTCTCTGTCTCTACAGTGTATCATCCCTACACCCATCCCTCCGATACCCTTCCTGTCGCTACAGTGTATCATGCGTAACACCCCTCTCTATACATACACTCTGGTATGTACGCACTTGTCTTGAACTCGTGGAGAAATGAATTGCGCAACGAACCCACACAGCTGATGGGTCGCGAATGGATTGCACGTGCACGACTGTTTTGATTTAGGCCAAGTAAAGCATTGTTTCTTGTTGCGATTCACATTCTCAGAATCTGGATTTAGGCCAAGTAAAGCATTGTTTCTTGTTGCGATTCACATTCTCAGAATCTGCTTCCAGTAAACCACACGTACACGCACGCGCACGGGCACACGCACTTGCGCACACACACACACACACACACACACACACACACACACGCACACACACGCACACAAGTACACACGCACACGTGCACGCGCACACGCATACGCACACACGCACACGTACACACACACTCTTGCGCAATCATGCGTGTACGTGTCTCAAGATCTCTGTGTGAGATGGATGTCCGGACGCGTAGCCTAGCGGCTCCTCGTCCGGAACCGGTCGCGTAGCCACGGCCTTATTTTTATTGGTGGCCAGGCGGGCCACCAACCCGACAGTTTCAGGTGGCCCGACGCCGTCTCAGGTGGCCATTGGCACCCGGGCCACCATTAAAGTCGAGCCCTGCTACAGATATGTACCCGAGGTACATTATGTATACACAAAGTTAGCTCTAGTACTATAGCCCGCTTACATTAACTGCCAGCGGCAGCAACTCGTTCGAACCTGCAAAACGCATTTTTTTGAACGTTTACTATGTTCTCCTTTCGAAGGCAGGGGCTGTACGGTTAGAAATTCAATAGCGTTACTGTATAAACCCCAGTAGTAGATGACATAATTTATACAATACTTTACTATTGTTTGGAACGTTATTTTGGTAGTTTTTGGGACTGAGGTAATGTTTTCGGTTCACCTCGCCAAAGGACGTTTGACCGCCGGTTGTTGTGAAGTTGTTTTGATGTCTGAGAGTTGTGTTTGATTTTATTGATTACGGGTGATTGATCACGGGTGTTGTTTTGATGTCTGAGAGTAAGTTTATATCTATATTATACTAGCCACTAATTATAAATAATTTTATAGCTAGTTAAACCTGCCAAAAACATTTTGTGTAATAAGTGACTAAACGGGGAAAACGCGAAAATCTCAGCACAGGGCGGTAGGTGCATTGTTAACCATGCAGCGTTGAACGTGTTAAGATGAATTTAAAGCAGATTTTCTTCTTCTTATTTTTTTTTCAGTTTTTATTTAATTAAATTTCGTTTTTTTGTCATTTTTGGAGTTCTTTTTTCTTTTTTCTCAAAACTGCGTTTTCCGCGATTCACGCAAATTCCGCGATTTTCGCGGATGTTCCGCAACGCGGAGGACTTTGGACTTTAACTTACAGCACCGCAAAGCATATATGACATGAGTAATGTCAAAAGTCAAATCATATAATAAACAAGGCAGTGGATATTATTATTAACCATACGGCAGAGTATCCACTTTCGCTATTCTACCATACAGTGCTTCTGATTGGCTAGTATGTATATATATGTTAGTATATTATGAACACGTTTTCATATTGGAAACGTGATTCACGGGAAATAGCTTCTATGATCTTGAAACGGGATCAAATGTGTAGAAATAAATGGGATTTGAACCTAAACGTTTTCTAGATAGCTAAACCTTAAGCCCTGTCTACACTAGCAAACTTTAGTTTGCAAACTCGAGCAAACTCCGAGTTTGGCAAGAAAAGTTTTCCAAAGTTTGCCAGTGTAGACCAGTTGACAAACTTTGGCAAACTAGTTTGCAGAAGTTAGGCCGTGCACCTACTTGACAAACTAGTTTGCTGAGGTTTGGAATAACTCAGCCAATCAAATGACAGTTTGTAGATAGACAAACATTGGACATTGAACATTGGAATTCACAGTCAGTACCAGTAGTGTAGTGTAGTCAGTACCATAGTGTAGACAGGCACCACAAACTTCTCCAAACTTTAACAAACTCGGAGTTTGCTCGAGTTTGCAAACAAAAGTTTGCTGGTGTAGACAGGGCTTTAAGCCTATGGGATTCGAATGTAATGTTGATGACGTCATAAATATAGTAGCCAATATATTATACAGTAAAATGTGGTGTACGGTAAAATAGCGGAAGTGGATCTCTGCTCTGCCGTATACGGCTAAATATCCACTGCGTATAAACAAAGCGCAGTGCTGCCAGCTGACAGGGAGTAGTAACAGAGTTGTAGTTGTAGCTAAGTACTAACAAACACTGCTTAATTCGTTCTTTGACCAAACAATCTATACCTGGGCAGCAGACCTTGCATAACAAACTCTTGCTCTTGGTCTTGACGACAACTTGATGTCAGATGTTGGCCAGCTCGATTGCAGTACTTAACAAAAACGGCAACACAATGCACGTGTTTCTCAATACCAAACTGTTGAGGACTGTTAGTTCATCCTTTGCTGTCAAATATGGATGGAGTTCTTCATCTGCCTACTGCCCACATGTTCAATTGCACAGATTAGCTTCTGTAACACAGGATCTTTCAAAGTCTTGCTCTGCACCTTCCAAAGGCCATGAACTGTACCCAAGTATTACAACAAATGTAAATTCTTCTACAATGTAATTATGTTACAACCAGATAATATTGAGCAAGGTCAAAACTCTTGTACACTCTTTTACGCCCCGGACATCTCTCTGTTAGAAACAGTTACTCTTGCCACTCTGGTCACAATTTTAAGTCATTTCATGCTTGTTTTTTCATTGCAGATCTCTCAAGTGAGGAAGAACTGCCAACACAAGCTGCACTGTACATGACAGCAAGTTCTAGTGTCGAAAGCACAGACATTCCAACCATGGAAATGTGTTCGTCTGCTGGCAGCGACCACGACTTGGAAATCAGGCAGCCATTAAAGAAGCGTAGGCATGATTGGGTGAAGTTTCATGGGCCACCTACTCTGGGAGCTCATGCAGCTACAGAGGCAGTTGACGGACAGCCGGCTAATGATGAACCATTACCAAAAAAGTTTGCACATGCAGATACTGGCCAAGGCGACCCATCGGACGTAGATCATATGTATAACAATGTGGCAAGGAACATGATGGTAATAACTTGCCCTATGTATTGTTACAATTTCCAAATAGTAGCATCGAAATGCTGTTGTCACCTACATCCAGTTTCAGTCAGTAGTCAAGAAAGTTGTCGAGTTGCGGTAAGGAATTTTGCCAGTTTTTAATACTCAATGAAGATGAAAAAAAGTTACAACAAAATTGACAAAGTTTAGCTTGTATAGTTTATCATGGTAGGTCCACATCTGCTTATGTAAAGTAAATATTTTTGAAGCAGTGTCACATAATCCCAATGGTGTGATGTCACTGTTCTCAAAAAAGTGAAGTGTGACTTGCCAAATTAAGGGGAATTACACATTTACTAGTGTTAATCTACCTATGATTTAATATACATACCGGTAATTACTTTAATGTCCATGAATTTAGATTTTATGTTAAAGCTGTGTCTATTCCTTATATATCTTCCTAACTGTTCTCATATTTTCCCAGAGGTACTTCCCGTTTGCTTTGCATGACACCAAGTGTACAAAGCAAGGCTAACAATTCTTAGATCACTCACGCTCATGTTCAGTAATATATGTACTGATAGTACGTAGTAGGTTTGTGTACATAGGTCAGCATCAGTAGCATGTTATTCTTTATTCACATGAGATGCCAGGGGCCGAAAACCCCTCTGTACACTGTTGCCATTTTTATACATTTCGAAAAAGGGTACCAGTACAGAACAATTTAGCTTGCGCCATTAGATGCACTTGTATTTGTAGCACCATTTTCAGATTTTACTTTCGAGGATCTCGGGAATGCAAACACAAGTTAGCTGTTCATTTGCTGTTTAATAGCTTATAGTTATAACAGCACAAGCTGATAGTATTTTTTATACTGGAGAAATCATTAACATGTCCACTAATAGGTGAGATTTAATTTGCCTCACTGGCAAATGTGTTATTTTAATAATATTAAAATCTACTGTCTTGTTATATGTTTTGTTTGTACCACACAGGCGAGAATGGGTTGGGAAAAGGGTAAAGGCCTTGGGAAAGAGAAGCAAGGCAGAGTCAGCATAGTGGAGGCATCTATGCAGAGAGGTCGACGTGGTCTGGGAAACAGGATTGATGGCTTGGAACCCAGCAACAGTGTCATGTGGCAGGATGAAGAGGTTAGCTGTTTCGAATAGTGTCATGTTCTGTTCTCATCCAAGCCTGTATATATGGCGAATTACATGTAACTCAGTGTTGTGAATGTTTTAAAACTAACGCTACAGTTTGATTTACAACCGACAGTGGGCGCCACTCAATGCGCACACCGAAATCTGATAAGTGCGCAAAGCCAACTTTTCCAGCCAAGGGTTACAGACCGAAGGGTGTTTCGTTATTTATTCATTTTAAAAGCAAAGGATTGTAAATTATATTATAAACGACAATATAGTCTTCAGTTATAATATGGATAAATTTGCCTAAATGATATCGTTCAGTTAAAATAGATTTAGGTATAAATATCAATTGCAGTTTGTGATTAGCCTCCTGTCTGTAACGTGCAATAAAATGGTCAAAGTACGCAACTTTTTCGGGGGTGGCCAGCATGGTCACGGGGTGTCATGGCGACCGTTCAAATCGTCCCTCGTTTTCCCCCCCCCTCCCCCTAGCTTGTTGCATGTGTAATTATTATAACAATTAAAATTGGGTACTTGTAAACAAATACTCGTGCGCTATTAGCCGATTTGTCGTATACGTAAGTACAAGTTTACTGCCCAGTAACAATCAAGGCTACCGTCCCTTTAAGTCAATTTTTCATCAGACAAGTAAAGCATGCGGTAGAATACATAATACAATGCCCTAGATTAAAATGATCAACATTGCCATAACGATATTAAATATTAAATATCGTCACAAACATCACCGTTAATTTTTGTAATTTTATAAAATAGCACATATCATGCTTAGCAATCAGCTCTGTATTATGTGGCTCCCTATTAAAGTGTCTTTCAAAGTCGAGCAGAGAATTACCTGCATTGTTTATATCAATACAAGTTGTTATACCTGTTCTGAAAGAAACCACCTCGTATAGTTTCAATGGATTTGCCCGTGTCCTTGCACGTCGAAGTTCGTCATTTTCAAGGTTATCAAAAACATTCTATAATAAATAAATGAAAGCATGTAAAATTTTACAAGCCACTCAAATAACTTGTTTGATTGAGTAATCAGTAAAATAGGTGGGGAAACAATCATTTTATACACATGCACAAATCACAATTTGTTACCATATCTTAAAACAACACTATGTTCACTAATTCATTCATTTAGAATTCATTTAACCTTTTTTACAGAACGTGGTGTTGGGTGTGTTGTAAGCGTATATGGTAAATGTGAAGGATCTACTCAAAACATTTTCAAAGTGATTTCGATTAAAAAGTGAAGAGTACCGAGTATTTACAAAAAATTACGAACAGGTACACAAAGTTTTGATGCAAATTAGGGACTACAAATGGACAATTACGAACAACCCTCAAGCAATTGTCATGTACATATAGAACACTCCGATCATATTCTCTGCTATATAGACCTGACTGGAGCTATGCGCATGACACCATGCAGCAGTTAAAATCTCACATGAACATTTCTCAGTGTGCTACGGAACCATTCATAGACCATTGGCTTTGGGTGCACATGCAGTCGTTCTGAAATAACGAAATCTAAAAACTTTTTTAATGAGACGAGAGTAAAATATCACTACTACGATCTTGCAACCCATGTTACAAATACAGAGACTCCGGGACTTACGAACATGTTCGGTTCCGAGCGGTCGTTCGTAATTCGATTTGTTCGTAAGTCGAACATATGTACGTAGTATACAGTATTGTACAGTAGTGTAATGTATATGTAAGGTTGTGAACATCAGATGTAAACCTAGAAGTTGTACATAGTGTAAACATTGTTACCGTCAACACCAGGAGTTGCGCCAAAAGTCAAAAATCAGGGGGGCGATTGTGTCTTTTTATTCACCAATATTGACATTACACACTAATGGACTTCAGGGCAAATTGTTCGTATCATAAGTCGTTCATAAAACGTATCATAAAACGTTCGTAAGTCGGGGAGTCTCTGTATGTTGACTTTTGTGATGTGTTGGATCCACCTACATCATGATACATACCTTAGACTGGATAACATCTTCAAGAACGTCCTTGGTACAGAACTCTGTCTCATCATCTATTACGACCTTTTTCTGAATAGCAAATGTAATATTATAACTATTTAATATATTTTATATTTATATATATTTTATATAATTTGCTGAAGTTTAAAGCCTGAACGAAAAAAAAACATCACTGCTAGAAATTTGGACCTGTACACATATAGCATATATGAATATGTCTATGAAATTAAAAGATCGATTTCCAACAAACACCTATCATTCATAACCATTAGCTCTCTTCCATGGAGATTTGACTTAGAATCACTATACACCTATGTTCCAGAGCAATTGGTGACCACCAAACCAGTATGTGGTCGGCTGCTACTAACTTCTTCAAGTGCCGCAGAGTGACAGCGCTTCAACTACGTGTACTGTAGCCATGTATTTTTATGTCTGATAATCACTGTGCAAAGACATCAAGGAGACGCCATTCTGCCACGCTGTTCCCGCGCAGAGCAATATCTAGGATATACTAATACAGATCTAAAATTTATGATTAGCGCTTGCCTCACTGTATACAGTAATAAAGATACAGCCTGTGTAACTTTTTAATGACATCGCTACTATTACAGTGTTATAGGAATATGGTCTGAGCCGCGAGCGTAGTGGTGGTGAGTGGGGGAAGGTGGGGCGAGGGGGCGAGGTGGAGGGGCTCTAATAGCAAAAGCAGTTGCCGAATGGCGCTGTTATGTAAGCTGTCATCAATATCAAAAGATGGCAATCACCCTTGTCGTGATAACACTCACTCTTGAGTTGCTGAAACAAGTAATATCAGGCAAAAATTCGTTTCAGCTGTGAGTTAACACAATCTGCATTGCAGAGTTGCAAGACAGATAATATTATGATTAGAATAGTGCCAGTCACCCCCATGCATGCGTAATGGCTGGCCCCCCTGTTTTTGCCTACACACGTGAGCATTCAGGCGTTCATTACATGCTGTGCAATACAGGGGCTCACCAGGGTGCTTAATACAGACTGCTTTAGAAAATATATGATCTTAAGGAGCGCTAACCTGGGTCTTCAAACAAAATTTGCCCTTTGCCAATTGAAATGCCTGCAACTGTAGCTCAACATTCCCAATCGCAAAAGCAGTTCAGTCCCTTTGTTAACGTCAACAAATTCCATGTTTAACCTCCTCTGAGGGTCAAAAGGTGATCGACACTTGCTCTTCGCATGTCATCAGAAAGTACATTTCATGCCGTTCTTTCAATAAAGCCATGAAAATGCATAGGTCACGCCTAAAACAAAAAAGTTCTTTCAAGTCGCTCGTTTAGACCCACGGTCTCAGAAATGTCTAAAATCTGCCTGTGCACCATTGACCTCTTGACCTGTCACTCAATTTCGTGGCATAGTGCATGGCTTTTCCCTACGCATGATGCTATGACACGACTATCACGAGCTAGGTCAGCCGTATTATTAGATTTGTTGCCTGCCATTCGTGCGCATTTCCTCCCTTACCTTAAGTAAAGGAGCGGAATGTTCCCCTTTTTTAACACCTCATTGACTTTGACCTTTGACCCCAGCTTTGACATCCCAATCGTTTTACGATCCCCCCGACGTCCGAATATTGCGTGACAGACGTCAAGCGGGTAAGATTTGTGCCCAACTGTTGATGCACGACGGACGGACGGCCGGCGGACCCACTGCTCATGCGATTCTACAAGCCTGCATCTGACGGACGCTATATCAGATGAGCTAATAAATGCATGAAATGAGAAACAAATGCCCTCACTTTCCAAGGACTAATGGCACACTTACCTTATATCAATAGCTGTTTTATCCTAACGCAAAGTTTTTCAATTGCTGCTGCTATTACTAGTGCTGCTGCTACTGCTATTGCTGCTGCTGCTGCTCCTGCTGCTGTAAAGTGTGGTTTGCAGACGGTAGAAATAGTAGTTGTGTTTAGAAATGTCGCGACAGTAGTTGCATAATTGGTTAGTCAGCCGGCAAGCGGGTTTCGGATGTAGTATGGATGATGGAGATGCGAAACGGTTGAAAGCGGAGTAATGTTGCTATGCATGTGGGCACGGGTGTGGTTGTCCCTGGTTCGCGCTGCGCGGCTTCTTTGTTTAGCTTAGAAATGCTTATAAAGGAAACGGCTTCTTGTTGGAGGGAGGTCGGACGTAGTGTGCGAGGCACGCGGCGCTGCGTCTTGGTGTCGCGCACATGTGGGTGAGAACAATAATACAATTTGCTGAACACAACTGCTTGGACTTTGGAGTTTTCCTTATTCATCGCTTCAACAAATCTACTTTGAACCGCGTAACGTCAGATTCCTCGTTACACTGCTACCACTGCCACTTCCACTATATCTCTATACCTACCGCTTCCACTACATCTACCACCACCACTACAATCTGGCTAATGAGGGTGATTACATTACGATGCTTGTGCGTGCTGCATGCTTTTACCTACCTCGCCTTCTTTTATCCATTCCACAAGAGCTTCTTGCGTGGGGAAAGCTTCAGTGCACGATGGCAGCCACTCAACACGCTCATCTGTCGTAATCTACATCCGAAAATTTAATGTTATTTCAAACTTAATAATCTGACGCTCATGTTGTGATTTTTCTTACTACTAGCACAACTGTTATTATTTACCACACAGTTACAACGGTTTGGAGCTTGTCTTTATTAAATACTGGCTGCAGTTTATTCAATCTGGCATGACACTGATAAGATGTTAAAGGAATAATAGGACCATTGATTATGCCAGAGATGCCAACACTTTTCTGAGCAAACTGTAATGAGGATGTCTGAAATCTGTAGTCCGAGCGGTCACGCAGTGACACCGAGTATTGCTAGCGGGTTCGGGACATTGACACGGGCCCCCCCAGAAATTTTTTGATTCCGAGATTGCAATTCCTGCATCTGGGACCCAAATGACAATAAGTTCACAACTGATATTTGCTGACTAAATACATGTAAAGTTATTTTCATCATTGTTATATCATGAATAACATGAAAACAAAAACACTTGAATTAATAGACCAAAATGATTTTTTTACGTCGATTCGTAATAAAATCGTAGTTGTATGCAAACTGGTCGTACTGTGGTCAAAAATGCAAACAAAAAAACGCGATAAATCGTATGTGTGGCATCTCATGTCAGCATGTTGACTGAATGCTAGAATAACGGCCACCTTGTGTAGCTAAATAAGTACTATTACCTACGAGTTAATAGGTAACTTATAGAGCCTCGCTGGCCACGGATTAGGACAAAGGCCGCGCGATAGCAATTAAATAGGCGCGGCTTTGTGGATAAATAGGCGCGAAGCCCGGGAGGCGAAAGCCAGCCCTAGGGGGGGGGGGTGCTGGGGCAATTGCCCTTCCCCGTGAAAATTTGAAATCTACAAGGCAAAGTGGTGGCTTGGGCTCTAGTACGATTTCTGAGCATTGTGATTAGCACAAAAAAAGTGTATTCACTGTAATTTTAGAAAATACATGATGATTTGAAAGATTTAGTTTGCTTAACATTAGAATTAAAATATTCATATAATGACCAAGAAACTCCAAATTTAATTCTTCTCACTTACTAACAGTGGATAATCTTTAGGTAAAACTTCCTGAATCCATTCGCATTCAAAGACATGCATAACAATTGTACTGGTGCTCACAAAACGAACTGCTTAAAATCGTCAGAAACGCCGCGGACCCGAGCCAAAGCATGCTCCTCAAGTATAACGCAACGGCATGTGCCTGCATAGAATCAGGACGAGTAGACGCTGTGAAGCAGAGGAATGTGTGCCAGAGTTCTGGGATCATAAAATTGTATAGTACAGGTGACTGCAGTGGGCGGTGTACAGGCGTTTGGACCAGGCGGGGGGGGGTTAACCGTAAAGATATACACACGCTAACAAGTTATGTTCCTTGAAGGTTATGGGAATGTTTCTCTTTAGGTTAAACATTATTCAGTACTATCTGAATCACGTGTTTTAGGAAGTTTTCCTGACATTCTGAGAATCGTTTTTGTACACGCGAGAAGGGGGGTGCTGGGGGCCCTCCGCCAGAAAAATTTTTTGAATAAAGACCCCCTCAGATCCGTTTTCTGCGCGGGCAGGAAACGGGGTCCGGCACCCCTAGACCCACCCCTGTACACGCCCTGAACCTGACATCATCTGAACCTGGTCTCTGCTTATAGGGGCCTAGATTACAGCTATATACATGATATCAGGAGCTAAGATAATATATAGATCCTATGATTATCTGACTCCTGAATGATATAGTGTACGAGACAAAAAGACGGTTATAAATTATGAAAGATTTTGGATGTACCGGGAAATTAGGCCTGAAAAACAGTGCGGCGCGTTCCGACGCCCTTGGGTTAGGGCCTCGATACATCTGTCCACTGAAGGCTGTGAGGTCAAGACGTGGCCGGGGCAGTGTGAATTTTCTCAAGCCGGTGGTAAGAACCTGGCTCAACATTGGAGAATCTGTTGAACCTCCGTGGCGTCTTGATGACCACGATAAGAATGCGCGGTCACGTCTCAAGTAATTACTAACGGGCCAATGGAACGGTAAAGAGAACCACTGAGGCCACAAAAACTAGGCTGTGACCACCCTCAGTCGCCTTTCGGCTAAAAAGGCATAAACTACCTGGCTTTACCCAAGTAGGTCCACTCCATTGCCTAGATATAGACCAGCTAGTATGCGCAATTCAAGATGGACAAGATTCTCTGCGGCTGTCTCAGCTACTGTTGGCCCGTCGATCAAAACAGGCACTCCATGCAAGGGAGCCTATCCTGCGCCTTAATGTAGCATCGTCATCGTTGTGTAGCGTACCTTCGCAGTTTTAATTATGTATAAATATATATATATTCTGTGAAATGCCCTGGTTCGGGACTTCCTAGGCAATTATTATTATCAGCCAAACGCCCATATGTTTGTCCAATATCACGAGACGTTAGCAATTCAAACAAGACTTGAAATTGGTTAGTTTGCAATATGTAATCAAACGTTCATTTTAGCTGCCGTAAATGTCACCAGCGAGTCAAGCAATGACGTAAAAACATGTTGCTCGCGAGTCGTATGTTTTGAACGCCAGTGAAACGGAGTGTCATCCGGTGTAACCAGGCCACGCAGACTAAAACTTGAATAGAGAAAAACACACGTTACTAATCACGGACGCACGTGCGACAGCCCTGACAAAAAGTTCAGCTTTATTCGACGAAGCGTCCAATGTTTACGAAATCACTTGAATGATAGCATTGCGTGCAGAAATGCCGGTGCACATATAAAATCTGGTATCACACCACCTTGCGGCCAGTGGCAGCGGTTTGAAACTGTAAAACAAAACTGCATTTTCGGACTTGCGGATTCTCAAATAGACATTTCCTTTAGTAACCAGCAGATGATATTGGACAAACACTACATACGCGTTTGGCCATATAGTTAAATCACATATCACCCTTACTAACTAAACACATGCAAAACGTGCAGCTTACTCCTCCAACGCATTCCCGTCAAATTTCGGCATAATACAATGGACCTATTATTCCTTTAATAGTGAATAATACTGCATGTTTAAACTTTTCTGTAACATTTAGGTCTAAACTTTAATACCTTTGAACACCCGCACCTCCTGTTTCAAATACAGGACAAATCTTTTTGCTAAATGTTTAAACTACCCTGCAGTAGCCCTAAATCTATCTGCCCGTTGTCAATGCCTGTAGGAGTCAACACATGCAATACACCAAGAGAAGATGCACTAGCAGCCTTTCCGCCCCCCCCTTTTAGCCACCAGCCGTGATTCTCCCCTCGTCAGGATTATTTCCTTTTCACTCTACTTAGATATAAACGCATTGCGCCCTCTATACCCTCAACTACTTCTATCCTTCTCTACTCGGTATCGAATATAAAACCCGGACATATTACACTCTTAAACGCTGAAATCCGGCATAAACGTTAAAACCAGCCACCGGTTGGACCTGGCCCAACCCGCTCAAAACATTTTAACGTAATTTCTCTGTCCAGCATTCATAGGCTCCTCCCTCCCTCCTCACTCTTCCCACACTCTCATGATACCATCTCAGACTCTAGCGAAAGCATGGTATAGCATGCTCTCTCTCAAAGATATACTACGTGACCAGCTTACCACTACTCCTCCATCTCAACGCTTTCTCAACTCCTCAGTCCTTATGCCACTGAGTTTGCTCTCTCCTCTCCCACTCTCTCATCCACACTCACACTCCAAAAACCAGATAATACAGTAATAGTGAATGCAGACACATCATGAAAAAATGTCAGAAATAACAACCAGCTCATTAAATTCTATGATAGAAGCATAGAACATACCACGTTATAGTTTCTCAGATAAAAATATATTCAATCTAATGACACTATGTAAAGCTATTTACATTAATAATGCTGCCATTGTTAAAGGACTAACACAAAGGACGCCATGATGACACTGAGAGCAGGATGCCTTGTCGGTTATTCCAGGAGTAACAGGATCAGGTACCCGAGCTAGCTTTTTTAGGTTGTTTAGTATTAATGTTTATATTTTTCATATGAGGTATGTTTAGGGTTAGGGGTTTTAGGGATCAGAGTTAGAGGATACACTTCTGTAGTACAAGTCTGGCTACACTTTGTCTATACATATATAGTACCTCGCGGTACTATATCTGATGAGCTACCCTGATACGACAACGACCCTTGAGCCA